ATTGTCTTTTATAAGCATGCTTAAGATCACATGAGAATGAGAATATAAAAACACAACAAAACCAAGAAGATTCAGACATGTAGGACCCGCTTGTCTCTTTGCGTAAAACTAATCCCATTAATAAAATTAGTATTTACATAACACAACGACTTTACTATTGACAAATCTAATCTTCTAACAAACCATAGGTTATATCATAAATATTTACAAAAAGAAAAAAATATAAATGTACCTAATATCCTTTTACTACCTATTGGTCCAACATGAAGACCGACCACCAAATTCTTAACTAACTTCCCACCTTCTTTATGTACAATATACTTAGCCAGAACCGGTTCACTATCTGCTCCAAATACACCAATTCAACCGCGTGGGTTATTAACAAACACGATTGAATTGGTCTATATGGACCGATTAGTCACCCGGTTTAATATCCTAGAAATATGACTTGATCAAACCTAACTGGTATAGATTTCTCATAAATAGACTCCCAAGTGACACTAACACTGTCCCTCCTCCAAGGCGTCCGGCTTGATCTTGCGGTTCTTGCTGTTGTTCCTTCTCGACCGCTTCTCGGTAACTACTCGGAAATTGTTCTTTAACACTTAGATCATCGATTCCGATCTTCTCTCTAATCGATTTGATTATCTCGGGATCTATTGGGTTACCATTTGCATCCGTCACATAGAACACATTCCTCGCTATACCGTCTTTAGTCGATACCTCGGCTCTTGCTACATTTAATCCGTTCTCCCTGAATACTCGCGTTACTTCCGCTAACAATCCCGGTCTATCCGCCGTGCATAACTCCAATCTCAAACCCTGCATAAGAGTAAACAGTCAGTTACTAAACCAATCGGTTAAACCGGAGGAGAAATTGTTTTTATACCTTAATCGTCCTTCTTTCAATTGCGGCTTGTAAACATTGAATCAACCGTTGTCTCTCCGGTTCTGAATTAACCGGATTTCCATCACTATGTCTTACATAGAATTCCAAAAACGCCGTTTCTCCAACCGTTCGAATCGCGGCGTGGAACACAATGTAAGCCATATCCGTCAACGTGCAAACAACGTCGAACAAAAGCTTCAACCGATCTTTACACTGCAAATTCACAACCGAGTAACCGCGTTTCGGTAAGTTTTGAACCGAAACGATCGGAGATTTCTCGGAATCAAACTTCTTCTCGTAGTCACGGTCCATGAACATCCTCTGATGCAACCTTCTCTCCATATGAGTATTGCCACCATACGAAACGCATGTCCTCGTGTCGTTTTGGTAACCATCGTCTGCTTTTAGTAAATTACGTAATTGCCCTTCTACCCTTTGGACTCGGTCGGAATCTCCGTCGATCGGAGTCCCGGAGTTACCGTCTTTAACATAAATCATCGACGCAATTCTTCCGTTATGAGTCCATGCCTTAGCCTCAACAACATCACATTCAAGATCAGCTAAAACCGCAAAAACCTCTGAGAGTAAACCGACTCTATCAGTTCCGGTTAACTCTAGAGCTGTTAAACCGGTGTACCCTTCGCTTTTACAGTAATGAGATGTCTCGATCGACTGTTAAAAAAATTGTTTCTTTAAGTTCTCCCGTGACATTAAAATTAATTGTGTAATTAAAAGAGTGATTAATGAATAAATCAAATTTACCTTTTCAATGTAACGGATTAGGTTCTCGTCGGTTAATTTGTTTCCATTAAGATCGCTAACATGGAAAACTGATGCGGAAAATGAAAGAAACGAATTACTTATTATTGATTTCTTAAATTAGAATTTTAATTACTGTAATTAGCGTAAGATTAGGGATAATTACCATCCATATTCCATTTTCCATCAGAGGAAATGTAAGCTTTTCTGATCCAGAGATTCATATCCGTAAGAAGCTGTACAGATTCAAGCAATATTCCTGGACTTCTTACACTGTCGATCTAACAAACAAAAAAAAAATTAATATAAATCATTTTCAATTAAAAGGAAAAGAAAAAGGAATTTGAAGGTTGCGTGAGGGTAAAAACCTTGACGACAGTTGAATTAGGGCAAACTCCATTGTCAATTACGACCCTGCAAGTGACCAAAAAAAGACAGTGACCCTTTAACATCACTGTTTTTG